AAACTAAATGCATCCAAATGCCAATAAGAAGCTATGCCAGTTAAATACAAGTATTGTGATATAAGTATTTCTAAATTCGACGTCCCTCCCTTGGCAGTGGTCCAGTACATTTAAATTAGCTTCATAATGCTGGCATATTATTTGCATACAAGTAATCCGAATTTAAAGCTAATAAAAATGGCTTATTTGACTAATAAAGAAAGCTGCTTGACAGCTTAACTATTAGGGAAATGCTTTTGCCTACTACTTTAATTTAGGAAGTCAGAAACTAGAATCAATCATTCTATAGGCGAATTCTAAGTAATAATAGATCAAAGTTGTTGCCCACAACCTCTGAAGTTTTTTGAGTTTCAATTGTGAGAATAATTATGGAATAACGGATATCTTGAGTTATTGCGCGGTTTGAAGTCCGGCATTCACACAAAAACCCTCTGATTTTTACTGCACAATAATTTTCCTCTATTAGAACAGATTTAGTTCTAGCCGCAAAATTCAACAAGAGACTTATATGGTATTTCATGTTTCATAAAAATTCCAAATACATTTGCTTAACTGTGTCGTCTTCTCATTAAATTTAAGCTAGATTTTGCGTAGGCAGAGTGCTTGTAACACGTTGGGAAGAGTATTCTATGAACGACTTACATATTTAGGAAGATACCAGTATGGAATCCAAATTGCATGTTAAGAAGAAAGGCGTTACAAGAAGTGTGGACATGACTTTTACTTGTTCAACTTTTAATTTATGTAAATGTGATCAATTATTTAATTGGACAAATACGTTAAAAATGTATATAAACAAAAGGAAAAGGGCCCATTGATCATCGAAATCATGCCAGAATCTCTAAATTTTATTGAAAACAATTAAATCGTATTCCTGCAAGTCATTTAAAATTTCAAAAGCATACACACCTATCAGTATTCAATAGCCTTAAGTACCCTAATTAAAAGATCAGATCAAAAAAGATTAATTGTAAGAAAGGTATTATTGCTCGTCAATTTGTTTATTTTTTCAATTTTGTTTTTCTGTTACAGGTTTAAAATGTATTTAAATTTTACAACATGTTACAAGGTTGCTAATAATTTAACACAACTGGCATACTTTTCATTCCATCTTCAAGTTATATTAAATGAAATGAATACCAAATAGCCACAATATTTGCAACCTTACATTGCCAAATTGTTTACAAAGTTCGAGCAGTGGCCGTACATTCGCCTTTAGGTTTTATAAGGTCGAAGCATTTACGACAAGATATTCGCATATTATCGCTAATTTGCATATGCACGCAAGACTGCAGTTGTTTGCCTAAAAGATGCCTTAACTAAATCAAAGAGCCAAAGCTGAGAAAAAGAAAACAATACAAAATCTATATATATATCTATACATTTATATATATATTTGTGGGAATGGACGACAAACTGATGAAAAGAACGAGAGCACAAAATGCCAACAAATCGCATTGTATTCTCATTCCATCGCATCGGATGGCAGGGCAGGGCAGCGCATCGCATCTCATTTTGTTTCTTTTGGGGCCAACCGAAATGGCGTCTAAAACTGTTATAACAATAAATTAAGTTGCTAAAGTTGCAGACGACAGAAAATAAAATAAAACGAAATAAAACGAAGAACGCATAAAAACGAATCGAAGTTGTCACTGCTGCCAGATAAGAATGCCAGCAAAATGGAAATGTGCAATCTGTTGACGAATCATCAGGCAAATCGAGCCAGCTCCAGCTCCAGCCCCGCACTCAGTCCACACCCGCAACCGAAACCGAAACCGAAACCCAAAACAAAACCAAACCAAACCCAAACAACGAACCTTGTCTCCGGATCTGTTCCTGAAACCCATGGCGAAGCAGCAATTGCAAGCAATACCGTAAAACATTTTCAAATTTTTATTGTTTTGATGGCGCTAGCTTCCGCTGCCGCTGCCACTGCCAGTGCTGCTGCCGCTGCCGCCCCTCGCTAAGCGCCTCTGTATTGTTGAGTCAGTTAGACGCCAATTTAATAGCATACTTTACAGCGCTAAGCAGACAATAACAACACAGAAATATACAAACTACGACTGTGTAGTTTTGTAGCCAAAAATAGCGCGCGCCAAACAACAAAATAAAGTGACAGCGCCGTGGACAGCGACCCCACTGAACGCTGAACCACTCGTTGCTTAACAGTGGTCAAGATTTGAAAAGCGAGTGGACAAAAAGTCCAATGTCACATTGAAGCGTTGAAGGGTTATTAAATGGAAGAGCCTTTTCACTAGCTTTTGATCATTTCTAATTGACTAAATGAGACGTCAAATATTTCATCAAATTGTTTAATCAGAAGGAACAACGCAAAATAAGTAAATACGATATAATTGAGAATATAATTGTATTGTAATTATAACAATTGTCTAAACGATTTAAATCTAATGTCAGAAAAGACCAACTGACTAGCAATAAATGATTTTTGTTAGGTATTTCCTTTTTTCTGCACAAACTCTTTTTTAAGAACCCAACAAAGTTAAATTGTTGCCTAATTTAAAGAGAAAATTAAAAGATAACAAAGGCAATTTAGATCTGCAATATCATCATCACGTATCGATTGTTTAATGACAATCGCGAACTTCATTCATTTTTTTTTTATTTATTTATTTATTTATTTATTTATTTATTTATTTATTTATTTATTTATTTATTTATTTGTTTATTTATTTATGTAAACAAACATTGACTGTCGACACAGGAGGAAAATAAGTATATAAAAATTATAAAAAGCATCTCATAAGCTAGAAAAGCATAAGGGAAATCTAATCAAATTACAATAATATCTAATATCTAGTTCCGAAATTAACTGTATTTTGTAATACAATACGTTTATTAGCCGTCTCATCTCATAAAATTAGTTCTCATTTGCAAATAGTCCTGTTTGCAAAGGGTGAGGAACGTATTTTTGAATATCGATGCAATTAAAACTGTGGCACACAATTAACACTTATTTGTATGCTAGAAGAACGTTTAATTAATTGAATATAGAATCATTTTTGTTTTTATTTTTTCAAACTATATTCTTTATTTAAGATCTTTCCTAGGTTGGACAATTATTAAATTGTATGATAACTTTGACATTTTTGTTATCATTCTTGTCTTCTCATGATGGATGCGGCATGATTCGAACCGACTACCTACTCGAAGTCACAAGTGTGACATTCTTGAATTTATAGAATGAATAGAATTTTTTTTATTATTATTAATTATTTCATTTATGATGAGGTTGTAGTATCCGGCTAGTCCCTAAGGAGGTCCAGAGGATGGGTCTTGAGAATAGAACCATTTGCTCATATATTTAGACACGGTGTACTGATTTCCTCCCAAAGAATGTTAGGTTGCTTTGAAAATGATCTAAAAGAAAGGCTAGCATAGCCTTCTTAGCCTCTCGAGTATAGGATCGCACTTTAGATCGCACTAAAATTTAAAAGAATTAATCTTGACCGAATGAACAGGATAGCCGCGACGGTCAAGTGCCAAAAAGTCCACACCTTGAATTAAAGTGCATGCCACTGTGCGCTCCACTTGCAGCGTTTGGCGCTCTGACGTTGACGCACGCCGCCAAACGGACGTTCATTGTTATTTTAAGAAAAAATCGCTGGCGCACATTTTGCTTGGCTGCTTGGTTGTCTGGCTGGTTGGTTTCTGGCTGCTGCCTGCTGGCTGCCTGCCTGGCTGTCGGTCTGATTATTGGTGTTGTTGTTGTTGTTGTTGTCAACGGAAAATGCGGAAGCAGCAACGATTCCAACGACTCCCTTTTTTGAACTTCCGCTTTGGCTTGTACCAATTTCTTTGGGCTTTATTGCTGCCGTCGCAGTCTCCGTCGGCGTCGCAGTCGCAGCCGCCAGCGTCGTTGACTCTTTGCCCGCACGCATACAGCATAAATTTTGAATACGCGCTCAGTGGCTGCCGATTGGAGAGGGGGGGCTGTGGGGTTGACGTTGAGGTTGAGGTTGAGACTGCTTGACTGTAGCAAAACGAGACGCAGAATACAAAGAAGAAGAATGAAAAAAAAAACTAGCGAAAATTGTCTGTCGCTTGATAAAGCGGAAGCAGAACTTGGCCATAAACGAAATGTGGCAACTGGCTGTAAACTTTATTGGCGCCAGACTGGCTGGCGACGTTGTCGTTGTCGTCGTCGTCGTTGTCGCCATCCATTGACGTTGACTCATGCAACACACACACACACATAGACATAGACATAGACATGCACACGTCAGAGCTTGGCGTCTCAGTGGCTCGCACAAAAATCCAGCGCCTTCATGTCACTTTGTTTGCACTCCCATGCCCGAACCCGAACCGGGACCCGAATCCGAGCCCCAAGACCCACAGCCGCCCAACAAGATGTTTGCTCTGTCTGTGTATGTGATTGTGATTGTGGGTGTGAATGTGAATGTTGCATGGATGGGGGGGATATATGCGCCATAAGGAAATCTTACATTAGTTGATTTCATGCGCTGTTTACATTGCCGGCGAATTATGCGCATTTGAAAAACCCGAATCTTGCGAATCCGAATCCACGCTGCGGCTGATGGTAAATTTTTTCACTTCGGCCACTCGGTGTCATTGACTCATCGGTAAATGCAGACATTAAGCCCTGGACTTAAGTTTGTACATATGCATATATACATATATATAGAAATAGGTATATGTGTGTGCGAGTGTGTAAGTAAAATGAGACGCATAAACGTTTAGCGCCAGATAAATGGGTGCAAAAGCATTTCGTTTGTGTGCATGTGGCAATGGAAATGGCAGGGACAGTGTTTGGGGCAGGGGCAGGGGCAGGGACAGTTTGTTGACTGGGCAGATTGTTGCGTCTGCCTTTGGCTTAAGTGGAAAGAAATGAAAGTGGATTCTGTGCTATGCACCAATCCATTTAAATACAAATGCCTGACAGCTTTAAGCATTTCATTTTTCTTGCTTCAGGTTGCCAGTTCTATTTTGTTGTATTCACTGTTTCTATCATTTATTTACAGAAGTTCTATCGAGTTGGGAGGAATGGTGGACATACGATGGTATATCCGGTAAGTATTTCATAATTTCAAATTTATCAAAAACAAAACATTTGTTCATACTTATCAAAAGATCGTCTTGCTTTGACACCAAAGCAGCATTTTCTTCAAAGAATTCTGTTGCACTAAAAGATGGTTACAAACAATGCACAATAAACATTATCAATAAATAGTGTGATGGCAGCCAAATTAAGCTTTCATGTCTAAACGGTTATTTTAAATACTACTTTGTCCATATTTTAAAATAATAATATACTTGCAGTAAAAACATAAAAAAAAAACCAAAAGAAATAACATTATTTCTTTATGTGAGTTTATTGATTTGCCATTCATAATTTCTGACAGATTGAGTTTCTTCGGACAGTAAATTATTTGTTGTTCAATAAAAGGTTAAGTACAACAGAATTTGAAAACACATGATTTTGACTTAAAGCCGAGAACTGTTATTTTTCCTTTTTGATGATGCAGGCACGCGGAAGACACGGAGTATTCATTTACGATATTCTTCCTCTCAAAAAAGATAGTTTGCCTTGAAAATTATCCTTTTGACAAACTAGCCTTTTGACAAACTAGGCTCAAATCCTTCGAATATAGGATGTAAAGCTTACAAAAAAAAATTTACTTCAGTACCTTCTTCTTCTTTTTGCTGATGCAGGCAGTCGATCGACTAGTGAAATAAATATTAGTAGGAAGAATATTCGATCAAATTGATATACATATATATATATATATATATATATATACATATAAAGTACGGGTTTTCATAGAAAAATTGGTTTCTAAAAATGGTAAAAGGTGTTTATGCGGCAGCGCGCAGTTAACTACAGCCAAGGCTAACAGCAGTAAGCGGTCTGTTAGTTAACAAGTCTTACAGCTGTAAGTGGTCTGTTAGTTAACAGAGCGCTGCCCGCATCGCAGCCTCCCTCCCTAATTAGGAATTTGTAAAGTTAGTCTTAAAAGAAGAAACTTGCGCCGCCATTTTGGAGATATTTAACCACAAAGAGACGCTACACTCCTTCACAAAAGAAAATTGCATCTTGAATTCAAAAATTGATTAGGAACAATCCATTTAATGAATGAAAAAAAAAATAGGGAACTAACTTAACTTAAATATTATTATTTATTATTATTAGGAAATCAAGTTTAAATATAAATTGCTGAAAGCTATAAATATAAATATTAGAAGATCCTTTGCGGTAGCAGTTCTCTTCGTATGTTTCTTTTGATTTATTATTTTATGTAGGCAATGAAAATTGAGCAAACGATGGCAAGAGCAGAAGAATTATGATCGAATTATTATGGGCTCTAAATTGCTTGCATACTCGTATGACTAAGTATAATAATATAAAATGTATGAGTATATGTAATACATTTCGCGCGTCTAGACACATGTAGTCTGTGAGGCGGCCACTCACAGCCCAGTGCAACGCATATTGCCACATAGTATGCGCTATTAAACATATGTACTATAAATATATGCACACACGCACATATTGTACATGGATGCATACATACAGTGCGTTGCAATGTTAACAATTTTTTGTAGCTTCTCTGATTTAATTACATTTCAGAGTGTTTGAAATAGCAATAACGAAATCGCAGCCGACATTTCAGCTAATAGAAAGCTACACTCTCTCATGTGGACAGTGTGTGTGCGTGTGTGTGTGTGTGTGTGTGTGTGGCATTTGCCACTGCATTCTGTTTGTCTGGCCATATCCACTTGTTTGCGCTCGGCTCTCACTATATCCCTCCACATCTGTTTGCTGGCCATTTGCATTGTCACTGCGACGTCGACGCTGACGGCCCCGTTATTTATATGCATACAAAAAAAGACAAGCAGTGGCAGCGGCAGCGGCAGCAGCAACAACAGCAAGCAACAAGCAACAACAACAAGCAATAAACACAATGCAGCAGGCAAGCAAGCACTCGTTCATACAAACATCTCTGCATACATATCTACTATATAGTATGTACGAGTATGTATGTATGCATGTGTATGTGAATGAGTGAAACGAGCAGAGGCCACGCCCACACCCACATCCATAGCAACAGTTCAGCTCACATGCCGCGGTTCGCTTTTTAAACTTTGGCATTTATTGCCTACGTGTGTCGTGTCATCAAAACACATGATATACTCAAACAGTAACCCAGTAGAACCCTCCCAGTAGGGTATTCATTTTTAATGCTCCTTCTTAAAGCACAAATTGAAATTCGAAATATTCGGTATATGATGAAGCTAGTCCGCTTTTCTTGTGCCAGTTAGTGCGGCAAATGGAAATGGAAATTCCAATTACAGAGAGAATATGTAAGCAAAACTGCATTAAAATGAATGTAAGACTGGTCTTTTAAAACATTCAATTTATTAGCTGTTTCGGAATGTCCCAGATGAAGCACTCGATGAAAGGAAAACATTCTAAGTTCCCGTGTTCTGTTTGAAAAATGAATATTGCTTTTGTTGCATTTAAAAAAATATACAAGTATTCTTTCAATTGTTTGAAAAATGTTTTTAGTAATAGACGTAAAAGTCTTCTGTTGGGAAAAACAAAAGTGCTAGAGTCCTACTGGGCAGTCACACCACCAGCAGTCTGACGTGCAGTGCCAACATTGCGCATAGTTTTTGTTATTATTCATTTAAACTGCACACCTCACAAGCGCGCGAGAAAAACAAGAAACTGAAAAACAAAGAATGTATAAAAACATTCACACAACATACGCACACAAACAACGACATAACAGAACCGAACAGAACACAACACAACACAACAGAGCAGAGCAGAGCAGAGGCACAAAACGAAAATATTAAATTTTGTATAAAGCCGGCGATCAACTTCCCACTCCACTCCTCTCCAGCTGCCACCCCTTGGGCGTTGCATTGTTTTGAAAGTTTTCGACAGTTGGCCTGTCACGTCAAATTTAGCATCATCTCACTGCCTGGCAGGCCCCTCCCCACCCCCCCCCCCCCCCCCCCTCCCCCCGCACAGCATCCATGGACGAATGCACCTCACACATTTAATTGCAATTTTAAAAAATGTGAGCTTTCCCGTAACTCGATACACGATGTGGATGTGCTTGTGAAATATTTATTTTTTATATGGAAATTGCTAACCCTTAAAAAGTGTCTGCCTTTAATTACACATTATTATTTTAAAAAAGGCAATGTTTCTTTCAATTAAAGGTTAATAAAGGTTTCACTCAGGCGGACGTAAAACATTTCAAACGAACTAAATTAAAAATGGCAAAGTAATCAGAAAAATAGGCATTTTTTTGATGTTGTGGAAAAAGAAAGAGAAATGCGAATTCGTTGCATTGAATAAGCTCGAAATTTGAACATACTTGTATAAAGCACTTTTGTTAGTTAAACTTGAATTTCTAATATTTGTGTTTGTATTCTTAATCGGAGCTATTATTACTTTTTATTATTATAAAAGTAAATTCCCGATTGCAAATAATGAATTACTTAAATTAGCGAGGGCCTTAAGGTCATTAATCGAAGCTATATTAAATTAATCTTCCATTATTCCTCACACAATACAAGATCATAATAGCAACATTTTACAGCCCTGGCCCTATAAGTATTTAATTCTCATTTTAAACAAAACAACAATACATATGCGCGGAAAAAAATGCACAAAAAATCTTGCTTTTATGTTAAACTAAATTTACGAATTAAATTCAACTTCCAAAGAATTTCCTTTCAATATATCTATACAATCGAATTATTTTCAAATAGAAAATTAATAAATAATTAAGCCTGAGAAGTAGAGACATTTTTTAGAAATAAAGGCATACTAGTGTCTAAGAACTGTAAGCCAAAAAATTATCCAAAAACGTATAAATAAATCGAGAATTAGATTTGTTTCCTCTCTTCTTCTCAGCTTCGTTAATTTCCAGAGCAGTTAATGATTGACATGGATTTAAAAATGTGCACACATGATTATTGTATGTTTCAGCAAAATGCGTTGCCAAGGTGTTTCAATATTTAAATCGCTATGGGCTGCTATTGATTTGCTATTAATGTCTTCAATTTCGCTTGCCCTTGCTAATCATTGTTGCTTCGATCCGCTTTGCAGGACCAAGTTTCTGGGGCCTTATCAATCCACAATGGAACATGTGCAACAAAGGAAGACGTCAGTCGCCCATCGATGTGGTGCCCGATAAATTGCTTTTCGATCCCTACCTCCGCCCACTGCACATTGATAAGCACAAGGTAAGCCACAAACACAGACCCGTACAGACATACATACATACATACATAGCTATATATGTATGAAGGTATGCACATTGTCTGAGTGCAATGGTGTGTGTGTACAGACGCTTAAAGTTTAAAGCAACCGCTGGTCAACTTTCTGTCTCGCCCCCTCCCATCCCATCTCATCCCGACCCGACCCGACCCGACCCGCTCATCACCTCAACAGGTTTCCGGCACACTACACAATACAGGTCAATCACTCGTCTTCCGCGTCGACAAGGACACAAAGCAGCATGTGAACATTTCCGGGGGCCCGCTGGCCTATCGCTATCAATTCGAAGAAATTTATATACACTATGGCACTGAGAACAGTCGCGGCTCGGAGCATTACATACAGGGCTATAGTTTTCCGGGTGAGGTGAGTGGAAAAGAAAAAAACCAAATGCACCGAGAACGGGTGACATTTGTACGCTTCCCCCTCCATGCCATGAATATTCTCTCTCCATGTCCTTGCAGATACAAATCTACGGCTTCAACAAGGAACTATATCACAACATGTCCGAGGCGCAGCACAAATCCCAGGGCATTGTGGGGCTGTCCTTGATGGTGCAAATTGGAGAAACGCCCAATCCAGAGCTGCGCATCATAACGAGCACATTCAATAAGGTGCTTTATAGAGGTAAGCAAATGCAGGCAATGCACTCGCACGTGCGTGTGCATGTGCACACATACAAGTACATACACACATATACACATACCTACATATACACTGTATGTATATGCACTTCGTAAGGACCTCTCCCTGTTTCTTGTTGTGCCTTGGCAACTTCATTTCCGTTACGCAAAATACCCGGAAATGTTGCAATGTTGACTGCCCAGCCGGGCGCTGCACTTCACGCTGTGCCTTTTTATGATGTCATTCCTACCCCAACAACAACAACAACAGCAACATAAAAACACAACAACTACAACAACAGCTGCAGCAACACATAACGGCTACCACGCGTACTGCATTAAACAAATATTCATAACAAACGAGCAAGAAAATTACTGTCGAACAAAACGGAGCTATGGAAATGCTTTTTCAGAGCAATTCAAGATTAGATTACTCATTCATACCTATGTACTAATGCATGTATATATATATATATATATATATATATATATATATATATATATATATGTGTCTTGGTGCTCAAAAGTGTCCAAAGGTCAGAAAAAAAGACGCAGCTCAACTTTCGCTCAATCCGATAAATATATTTATAGTTTTGATTTTCTACAGAAAAAAGACTCAAACCCCTTATCTTGGACTGTTCTTAGAAAGTAACTTTAAGGTTTTTTAAATATTTTAGATCGATTATCTAAACAGCGTTTATTACTATATTCACTTGAGGCTAGATAGGTATTCTGAATTGTGTGTCCAGATCAAGAAATTGCTGTCTACAACTTGCTGTTCCCAACTTTCCGATGTATAACTATAAAGCTCCCTTCTGGAGATTTTAGTTGCTGTTAGCTAAAATTTATTTTAATGTTAGGCACTTCTGAAACCATTGCAAATATTTTTTTTGTCAATCTCTCAACAACAGTTAATAATAATAGTTTATTTATCATTGTTATTGTTATTATGCCTTCTAACAATTGATTCTGTTTCATGATTTAACAATTTTTTAATAGCCTCTATTGCCATCGTAATTTGCAAAATATTTGTGTTCTTTGAAGCAAAATAGATTTTAACACATTTACGCCTTCTTTCTGATGTCCATTAGTTTGTCAGTCCATCTGCTGTTTGCTTCTTGTTATTATAATATCGAAGGGCTCAAACTTCCTCGATCATAACCCTATATCGAGTAGCTGATAATTCGAGTTCTAAAAAGACAAGTTTCTGCGCGTTTTTTCGATCGAAAGTGGAACTGCAACTCCAAGATTGCTGAACTCTTATAAAATAATAATGTGAACTTAGAACAATGAAAACATTTTGTTTACCAAAATCAATTAAGCTCGAAACAAAGGCTATGTGTGAAGATACAGTCCGAAATGCTTTCCAAAAAGATTCCCGTGTTGGATTTCAACAAAAGGCCGCTGATATCACCATTTCTAAGCATAAGCCTGACCTTCAATAAAAAGCAATCGACCTTTATATATACATATAACTATAATTCGAGTATGTATTCTACATAAATGTGTTTGAAGGCCAGCATTAAATGCTCGAAACAGGCTCTAAAATATTTGCAAAAATGAAACAAAATTTCGATGAAGTCCTGGGGCTGCCCATTGAGCATAAAATTAAGTAAATGGCAAGAGGCAAGCAAAAAGAAATGACGGAACGCAAATGTTAAATGAAACCTCGAATTACACTAAACCAACACTTAATAATTCTGTTTTGGCCCTGGCAGTAACAGTGCTGGGTTCTGTGGGAGGAATTCGGGAGGGGGCAGGCAGTTGGTTGTTGGGTTGTCGGGTTCTCGGTTGTTGGTTGTTGGTCTGTGGGGCAAGGAGTGATGCAATTTGCAGGCGGCAGCTTGCCGACCGCTCAGTTTAATAGCCTTTTTACAGGTTGCACAGAAGTTTATGTGGCAACTTGGCAATTTGTAAAGCGGCAGCTAAATATGCAAGGCAGCAGCACTAACAGCAGGACGACAACAACAGCAACAACAACAGCAACAGCAAACACGACAACAACCAAACACAAAGAAGCCAAAAGCAAGCCGGGAAAGTAAATAGGGAAAACGAAACTGTAAAGTAAAACCAACACTTGTAATGCAAATGCCGCGCCAAGAACCACGGATCGCTTCATTTCCTGTTTGCAAAAATGATTTGTATGAATGCAAGTGGGCGTTGGGCGACGGACGACGGACGACAGACGACGGGTGGCGGATGGCGGGCTTTGGGCGACGACAAGGATGACGACGACGACGACGACGACGACGACGACATTTGAATTATTCATTAAACTGAAGCAACGCTCATATTTCTATGGCATGTGCGCATAAATGTTTGCCAAATAGCGCCACTAAGCCAACACCAACACCAACACCCTACAACGGTTCGCCCCCACTTTGCTGCTCACTTTGCTGCACCTTGAACTTTGTGTGAAATGACGCCAAGCTCATGTTTCCATTTGCATTATTGCTCTCGCCCCTCTCCTCCCTTCTGCTGTAGGCTTCTCCACGCCCATTCGCCATATATCGGTGCGTTCGCTGCTGCCAAATTCGGATCACTACATCACCTATGAAGGCTCCACAACGCATCCCGGCTGTTGGGAGAGCACCGTCTGGATAATAGTTAATAAACCCATCTATATCACTAAGCAAGAGGTGAGTACTCTCCAAGTTATTTAACTATGTATCTATGTATTAGCTCCCTTAGATATCATTTACATCGAAAATGCTATTGAAAACTGGGGCTTAGATGAGCAAATAATAACCTTTATTCCATTTTCGGAAGCCTCAACATCAAAAACATTCCAAAAGAACAGCTGTTTTCAACATTTCTAAATCGCTTTTAAAAAGTAGATTAACCCTTACAATGCATAAATATATATGGCTGTTTCTTTTATTATTAAATATTTTCGAAAATCTCAAAAAGGGTTTTGGGCGAAACATCAACATAAAAAACGTTCCAAATAAAAAACTGTTTTCAACATTTCTAAATCGCTTTTAAAAAGTAGATTAACCCTTACAAAGCATAAATATATATGGCTGTTTCTTTTATTATTAAATATTTTCGAAAATCTCAAAAAGGGTTTTGGGCGAAACATCAACATCAACAAGTAAAAAAGCTAAAGTCGGGTGTCCCGACTTTGAAATACTCTGTACATATGTTTACAATAATTATAGAAAATAAAAAAAATTAAGAAAATAAAAAAAAAAAATTGATCGATTTTACCTCTCTCGGTATTCGAACTCACGTATAATTGCACATTTACATAGCAATTGCGTCTGTGTGAGTGTATGTATGCCTATGCGCATCTATTCGTGTCTGTGTAAGAATTTTCGCAGTCAACCAAACAGCAACATCAACAACAGCCGCGGGCAGCGCTTGAGCAGCGCTGCAGCAGCAAATATATTTATGGCTATAACTTCTCGTTAAATCGGTCTATCATAGTTAAACTTGGTATACGGACATATAATAACCAACTGGGGGTATTTCCAAAATTTTAGTTCAAAATTCCAAGAATTACGGGAGTTACGATTTGCGGGGTAGAGGGGGGAGGAAGGGAAATTCCAAAATATACATTTTCTGCGTATTCACATAAGGCATCTGGGACTAAAATTTGGTGACCATAGGTCTTATAGTCTCCGAGATATAGGTGATAATACGAATGGAAAATCGGGAAAACCCCCATAGGGGGGAAGTGAGGGGGAAAATCAAAAAAATAAAACAAACTCGTATAGAATACACACATAACGCATCTTTGTGCAAAATTTGGTGTCTCTATCTCTTATGGTCTCTGAAATCCAGGTGTTCATACGGACGGACAGACGGACAGACGGACAGACTGACAGACGGACAGACGGACAGACAGACAGACAGGGCTAGATCAACTCGTCTCGTCATGCTGATCAAGAATATATATACTTTGTGGGGTCTGCCACGCCTCCTTCTGCCTGTTACATTTTTCAGCTCCCGCAAACCTAATATACTTCTGTACATTTCATGTACAGAGTATAAAAACATTCCAAATAAAAAACTGTTTTCAACATTTCTAAATCGCTTTTAAAAAGTAGATTAACCCTTACAATGCATAAATATATATGGCTGTTTCTTTTATTATTAAATATTTTCGAAAATCTCAAAAAGGGTTTTGGGCGAAACATCAACATCAAAAACATTCCAAATAAAAAACTGTTTTCAACATTTCTAAATCGCTTTTAAAAAGTAGATTAACCCTTACAAAGCATAAATATATATGGCTGTTTCTTTTATTATTAAATATTTTCGAAAATCTCAAAAAGGGTTTTGGGCGAAACATCAACATAAAAAACGTTCCAAATAAAAAACTGTTTTCAACATTTCTAAATCGCTTTTAAAAAGTAGATTGCCCCTAAAAAAATCATAAATATATATGGCTGTTTCTTGTTTTTTTTATTACTTAATATTTTCGAAAATCTCAAAAAGGGTTCTCATTCCAAATAAAAAACTGTTTTCAAAATCTTTCTAAATCGATTTTAAAAAGTAGATGAGCCCTTACAAAGCATAAATATTTTTGATCAGCGTTCCGTGATAAAGCTGTGCCTGCTTCTATTTTTTTTAATTATTAAATATTTTCGAACGCTTGAAGGTTCTCAGGAAACGAAATGCAGACGACTTGAAAACTCGAGTTCTCGCTCGGACGACCATACGGACTTGTGTTTATCGATTCGTCCTGTCGTGCTGATCATGCTTGTATGCACGATACGAATACTATATACTTGAATAAACACATACAATATATATATACATACGATTACTATATATATACGAATACTACAATTATATACGCATTATTTGCGTTCTCCAATCATTTGCGTCCTACATAAACGTTTGAAAGCTTTTGATACAAAAATTCAAAAAGTACATTCACATTCCTGATTTTCAGTTTTTTAGCGAAGGGAAATATTTTGCGAATTTACAAATTAGGATAAATAATCATTCGTAATCGTTTTAACTAAAATGTTATTGTTGCATATTTTAATTACATTTGTAAATGGGAGTAGTTTTAACACAAATAAAAGTTTACACCTTGCACCTATTGAGTTGAGATCCTAGTTATATGTACACCGTACACTTGTATGTGTGCGTGTGTGCGTGTGCGTGTGTGTGTGTGTGTGTGTGTGATGACACCGCAATATAATCAAAAGCAATTAGAGGCATTGTAATGGAATTTTGGTTTTTACGACACCAAAACAACAGCAAATCAAATAAATGCAATTATAAAATAAAATGATGGGCATGGGCAGCGCTTGCAACACATGCATGCCACAGCACATAATTAAAAAACAATATTTGCTTAATTTAAACAATTTACATATGTCTGTAGACGAATTACGCGAACATACATACATATCTGCGAGTATGTACATGCGAGTATCGAAGGCAATCAGGCAATTATGCATAATTGTCCACATATCGTACATAAATACATACATATATAAACACACACACACACACAAACATGCAAGTGCAATGTATGTATGTATGTATGTATGTATGCAGGCAATTGTTTAATTGGCCACTTAACACTTTCGCACTTGCATTCGAGTCTCATTGAACAGCAATTAAACAACACGAGATATGTGTTTACATATGTACATACAAGTATGTATATGTGTACGTACATACCTACTAAGTGTCTGTGAATACATATGTATAAACATATGTAAGTCCTTATATACACTTCGCTGCTGTTTTTGTTGCTAGTGTCATTGAAAGTGTTGGTGAATCGGGGGCAAAAAAAAATAAATAAATAAAAAAACACACACACCCATGATACAATCGTGATGCCAACACTTGATAAGCTTAAAGTGGAATTAAAAATTCGATGAAATAATAAAAAAAAATGCATGTAGTTTTACACGAAACGGAGATGGATCGGCTTCAATCAGATCCCTCCTGACTAAACTCTTTCGAGTCCGTCTTTCATCGCTATTACGAGTGTCAAGATCCAGACTCTTTATAACATAACTGACACACTTCTTCAGTTGGAAATTAAAAACAACCGGTTAAAATTAATGCCATGTCTGGGGCAACAATTTAAATAAGCTAACTCCATGAGAACTACAAATAATAATACAGGCATTACCTATAGCCTGAGCAGGAAGCGTTTTCATCAATCGATCGGGTTCATCAAACTTTTTTCTCACACACAATAAATCGAGTGCTTCAGGTCCTCTCCTCTTTATCCAGCTATGCTCGTAGTATTTGTGTTTTCGATGAGCAAACCAACTCGCTCATCTAAATATTCCAAATTATATATTTCCAATACAATTGCGGAATTACTTTCATTTATTTGTGACATTTATTTTCATTTAAGGACTGCCCTAAAGAAAAGTCTTGTAAATGTAATGAATTTCAAATGGAAACTGAATTTATTTTGTGATTCAGGTTATTTGTAGATGTAGTTTTAATGTGAAATATACTATGTGTATGCATGTTTATGCTTCAACATTCTGAAACATTCATTTTCTCTATGAAAATAATGTCCTTTTTCAACTCATAACCCGAATTACCATTATCATCCAAAAATTAAGAACAAATAAAAAGTTCGCATGCTGGAAAAAAGAACATATTTGAAGGCTTTTTAATTACAAAGTTAAATAAATAAATTCAAAGCGAAACTCTGTTATTTATCTATACTAATATTATAAAGAGGAAAGATTTGATTTTTTTTTTTTTATACTCTGTACCCAAAGGGTACAAGGGTATATTAGTTTTGTGCGAGTGCACATGGAACACACAGAAGGAGGCTTGGTGGACCCCACAAAGTATATATATTCTTGATCAGCATGACAAGCCGAGTCGATATAGCCATGTCCGTCTGTCCGTCTGTCTGTCCATCTGTCTGTCCGTCTGTCCGTCTGTCTGTCTGTATGAACGCAAGGATCTCCGAAAGTATAAGAGCTAGAATAATCAAACTTGGTATACAGATTCTCCTGAGACCGAGAAAGGACGAGTTTGTTCATTTTTTCTGATCCACCCCCCCACTCCCCCCCTATTAACGATTTTCTATAACTCCCGTAATTCTTGGAATTTTGAACTAAAATTTGGTAGTCACATTAGGTTAGTTATTATATAACCGTATACCAAGTCTCATTATGATAGAATGATCGGAAAGAAAGTTATAGCCATATAACCAGGCCCAATGCACACATACATACATATGTACAAGTACACAAACACGCATAAGGCACGATTCTGATGTAAATGTAAATGTATGTATGCATGCATGGAATATTTTATGTTTAATTTAGTTAATTAATTAAATTAATTTAGTTAATTAATTAAATTAAATTAATTAATTAATTTAATTACTTTTTTGTGGGGTGGTACAGGGTATTTAAGAGTTGAGCCTGCTCGACTTTAGCATTCCTTTCTTGTTTTTTTTTTGAAAAGGCTCCGAATCTACTGGACCGATTTAATGGATTCTTTCACAAACAACAAAATGAAATAAGAGAGAATTTTTGTGTCATTCTGTGTGTTAAATAAATTCGCACAAAACTAATATAGCCTTGTACACTTTATGGGCAGGGTATAAAAAGAACTGTCCCAAATAAATAGCGAATTTCTGAATGCAAAATGGTCTTTTCATCGAATAAATTGAATCAGCTCTTGCCACTAACTATGGGTATTATTATTATTGGTTTTCTTGCAGTTATATCAACTCCGACGACTGATGCAAGGCTCCGAGAGTACACCTAAAGCTCCACTAGGAAATAATGCGCGACCCGTGCAAAGTTTACATCATAGAACAGTAAGAACGAATATAGATTTTAAGCGTAATAAGGTGAGTCCCAGTCCAAGGTATACGTTTTTTTTTTCACTCAATATCGTCCAACTTCAATGACTATTCAAATAATTTGCAAATAATTTATCTCTCTGGCTCTCTTTCTCCCCCATTTCTCTCGATTCCAGAATCAAAATGCATGTCCTTCAATGTACAAGGATATGTATTATCGGGCGAATCGCTGGTCACCCGACACGGGACTTTTGATACGTTGACAATGCCAGGCAAATGACAGGACAGGCAGTAGTGGAGGCAATAACAGCAACAGCAACAACAACAACAACGGCGGCAGCAACAACATCAGCAAATTATATATAACAAAATTAAAAACGGACAGTGTTACAGCAATAACACCAATTACGACTATAATGACAACAACAAAAACAGCAAAAACAACAACAACAACCATAGCAACGGCAATAACAGCGCCAGAGAAGGTGTCCTGCAAAATGCTGGCCAGGGCCAACAACAACAATAACAACAGCAATAACGCATTTCACGATTTTTATTACACTTTAAAGTTTTATATTAATGTTTATAACACGAGCTCAGGATTCGTTTGGCTTGCAATATTCCTACAACAAAAGCGCCAGCAACAAAAATGGCATTTTTTGTTGCATTATTGATAAAAAGGTAACAATGTTAAAAACAACAAATGCTTGCAACAAACAAACAAACAAACAAACACACACACAAACAACACTCAACGCAATAACAATGAATTATGAATACAGACACACACACACACATACACACACACACGCTCTCATTATGTTACAAACAATTAGATCAATGAGAAATATAACTAAAATGTTACTGGCCGACTTTTGTAATTCGTTTTTAGTTTTGAATTCGGTATTGTTCCGTGCACTTATTTTGCATAATTTTCAATTTCACAAATATTTTATTACATTCTAATATGAATAGAAATTATTTCTGCTTCACACACACGCACACACACACACGCACACTCGAAAACCATACACATATGCATACTGGTGGCATACGAATGCATAAACAAATGTGAAATTATGCACAATATGGCCAACAATTAATTTATGCAATTAACGGCGGCTAATTTATCGCATTTAACTTAAAACAAGCAAATATTTCCAATTCAATGCCATTTTTTCGTTCACCCGCTATTGTTTCGCATACAAATAGAAGGCAGTTACCAAGTATTTATAAAGGATGCTTTTTTTTTTGTTAAATTAATTTTACAATTCGAAATCGATATAAGTAACACAAATATACAAAGACAGAAAAAATACAAGCAATTGGGGAGAAATGTACTTTCTAGTCTCTTTTTTAGCTCGAAACGCCTTTCCCTCTTCCAGCTCCATCTCTTCATTGTTAGCAAAGCCATTTTGTAGAAATGGCAAATCCGGTATGTTAGAGAGCAATGCGAACCTTAGCTCCTTGCTGTTGACCACTGCCCTAATGGATGTGTGAACTGTTGCATTGTTTTGAGGAAACATCACTAGCATTTTCCCCAAAGTTGGTTGATCAAAAAAACAGTTGCATGTGCATTCCAAAAACTTGCGCCATCATCTTGCCTGCAGTCTTTGGAGTCGATTCTCCCCTCTCAGTCCACACTTTTGACTCCTCTTCCATCTCAGATGTGTAGTGATAGACTTATGTTTCATCCATGGCTATGAATCGACCCACACATTTCGCCACACGCTTCATTGAAGCAGATGCTCCAGAGCTTTAACTTAGCCAACCAATATTTTAATGTAAAAGAAGGAACAGAATCCCCCAGAGATCTTGGTTGGACTGGGACCGTAATGGGATCAGGTACTGCTGAGGCTACCCTCGTATGTTAAAATAAAAAACCATTGAGAGCATCGTGAACCCTTGTTTTAAGTATAGAGATGTGCGAAATGAAAGACGATCAGAGACAACAACACTTTATTTTAAAAACCATCAAAATAAAGATTATATTAAGGGGTATAACACGATGATATTGAACTGCAAAATTATAAAAAAAAAAAAACATTTCCTATTCAAGTATAAGCATTAGCTGCCCAATTCTTAAGGTAATTCCGACAAATTATAAAAGTTTAATAGAAGGCTTATCATTAGTAATTGCTCAAAGGTTAAAACATAATTTGGTTGATAATTCTAACTATTTAAAACAAAGCTTCACAGCCTGATTGCTGAAGCGAGAACTGAATAGGAAATGTTCGTATTTCATTCCGCACATACACACAAAATGTATACAACATATTTTGTATGGTTAGAGGTATTGATATCAATCATCTCTCAAGCTAATATAGAGGTGCATTTCTCTAGACTTTGCAATCGATCTTTTATTTAATCGCTGTTTTTATTAGTTATGTATCGATTTTGGCCAAACTCTTCCCTGAAAAAACACCTGAATTTTAAAAGGTTTTTCGTTTAGCATTGTGTTTCAGTTAGTTAAGTTTTATAGTTAATTAAATGTGAATTCATTTGACTTTAAAATTTTGCATTCACATTAGGGATTAGGGGTTCTTATTGCTGTTTTGGGGTTCGATGTTCTCTTTGTTGATCAGCCGACAAAGAAAGCTAATTTATTTATTTGCAGAAAATAGGAGAGTATTTTCGAGCGTAGTTCACAAAACACTTTCTTCCGCTTTCTAAATAGAGTAAGTCGTTCCGCCTGCTGTTTCAGTTTAAAAAACAATGGATCTGAACAACATCAAATGTTAAACCGAAATACCCTCATTATGTTGCTTGTTTGAATTCCATTCGAATATTCTGTTAATAGCCGCAACAATAACACACAAAAAAAAACTACAAGAACAAAAAGAATAATAACAACAACAACAACAACAACGTAAAACATAAGAATTTCCGTAAACTGGATGGGTGGACAATAACTAAAGCAAAGAAAAAAGTAAACATAAATATATATACATACATATATGAGACAAAATAAAAAGCAAAAATATAAATATTCATATAAATATACACATATATCTATATACATACATAAATATACATATACACATGCATTCATATACATAAATAAATTGAAGGGATTTTCGGAAATTATGCAAAAGATACGAGGCAGGAGGCAGGAGGCAGGAGGCAGAGCAGGCGCGCAAAAATGCATTCAACAACTACAACAATACGAAATAAATAAATATAACAAATTAGCAAATATAGTACATAAAGGCCAGCAACAACTACAACAAGAGAAAGCTAACTTTAAGCGCAGTTCGACAGCAGCATGAGCGCTATATGTGTGCATAACTATATATATATATACTATATGCATATATATATATATACATGCATATGGGCTGTCAGTTGGCTCGAAAGTTATAATACATACGAGTACTTACATAATACACATATACGATTACATAGAGAGAAGGGGGGCATAAGCGAGTGTAATGTCTATGCTGAAGAGGCAAACTAAAAAATGCATAACAAATAAGTACATACGTCGTCGTCGGATATACTCGTATGCATATATAAAGTACATATACATACATATATATATATATATACATATATACATATATCTCGTATGTATCGTATATAGAGAGCAAGAGCCTTAGGTTTAAATAGCGGGTTGCATACTTACAAGTATAACTAAACTATAGGCTTACATACTACATAGTTACGAGTTGTTGGTAAATAGAATATGTGCATTTTTTTTGATTTTTTTTTTAAACTACTAGTTAAGTCTGTTTGTAAATGATGCTAATATATAATGTATTGTATTGTATTGTATTGTATGTTATGTGTAGTTGTAGCTGTTTTATCGAAACGTGTGTTTAAGTTATGAAATTTAAAAGAAAAGCAATGCGCCAAGCAATGCGAAATGACTTAACAAATAGCCAGTATTACGAGTATATTGTTCTAGTGAGGATGTGGGCTTGATACTGATTTGTAATATAATTTCCATTTGAATACGAGTATATATATTTATGTATTTGGTCGCAATCGAAATTCGTGCAATTACATTAGGAACTAACTAGGCATGCAACTAAAATCAAACTAGCAAGCAAACTAATCTAGGCTTTCGTAACGCTATATTAAGGCAAGTTTCTTTAGCTTGGAACGTGGACGCATTTATGAGAGCATTCTCAAAAGCACAAAAGCAACTCCCAATCAATTTCAAATGGAATTCCCATTCTGCATTCAAGTTAAAAGATCGAACAGGCAGTGATGCATGCGATAACTAAAGAGTTATACTCATCGATAAATGGGAAATGCAACTTGTTGCATGAACTTTAAATGTTCCGATGCACGATCGAAGGATGATTTGTATTTTAAAATTGTGATCATGAATCGCTTGGGTGTGAGGCCCTGCTGTGCTCGTCTGTGCTCCATGTTCCCACTCCATATTCAGTTACTGAGGCCCAGCATATATAGTACATACATACTACATATATAGAGAAGGAGGAACTTTTAACTATTTATAACTTTACGCGCAATTATGAAGAGCATACAAAATTGCATATGGAGCCATATAGAAACGTCTATTTGTATAAAACCAGCAACAATGCGAAGCTAACTCACCAACACACTCAACTAGATGGATACGACTGTAAGTTACTATTGTGTTGCCATTGAGAAACGAACACACAATATAAAACAAAACAAAGCAAAACAAAACAGAACAGAACAGATATAATACAATTATACAAAATTCTATGGTATATGCAGATATACATATAAATATATAGTATATATATATATACATATATTGTATGTGACGCGAAATTACAATGAGAAAATGAAACACAAGTGAAATGAGTTATTATTGTTTCGAATTGGATATTGCAGTAAAAAGAATTCACACATAATAGAGAAACACTTAATATTGTAAAACAAAAATTGAAAAGAAAATGCAAATTAATACCGAATAAAAAGAACTATTATAAAAAATTAAAAATCATTTGAAATTTTCTTTTTTTGGGCGGCTATTGTGGGTGGATTATAGAGCCCGTTTAATATCACCGCTAACCATGTGGAAATGAAAAGTGTTTTTATTGCTACTGTCCACACTTAAAATACTTGGAATAATACAACTTTTTTCAAATCAAAACACTCAATTGAAGTTCTTATAGCAACGTATAGTTAACGAATAGTCATAATTTTTAGGTGTATAGGCTCTAGAGGAATACAAGCTTCGCAACTGCAAGATACTGAATCTAGCTTCGATCAAACAGTGGCTGAGGCACAAAACTAGAGTATTTAATTATTTATGATTCAGCTTATATAGATTACATAGACTTGGCATATTATTTTACAGTTGAAACTCTGCGAGCCCGTAATGAGCCACGGATATCATAAGCCCAGCAATATCCGTTTGTCCAGCAAGCCGTGAACTAAACCAAATTGAATATGAAATGTGGCTGCTTATTGGTGGCACATAAATGCCATCTAAATAATGTTAAGGACCTGTGACTTATGCGCATACATACATACTCTATATACTTGAATGTGCTGCGGCTTTAAAGAGAATATTTATATTTATTGATAGCAGTGGAGAAGGGGAAAGCGTGCAGAAGAAAAAATAAAATAAAACAAAGCGTCCAATCAAACAATCAAACGTTTATTTTCGTGGCCAATGAGTGCACAGTGGAGCAGCCAACAGTTTGGGCCTATTTAAATATGCAGTTTCAATTTCCGTGCAAACACACGGCTTTTGGTTGCCAAAGCAGTGCCAAGGCTTCAGGATGGCAAAAGGACGAGCCGCGCACCGCATGTTTAATTGGACGCAATTGAAACTAAACTAGCGTAAAATCGAAATAAAAACACATACTATATGCTCGTACACTCGCACATACACACACACAAATGAAAACA